TGGGAGGTCCCGCGGAGCGGAGGGCCACGCAGACACTGCAGAGACCTCGCGGCTCCTTGGGGGGCTGCGGAGTGCGCAACTGTCGCCACGTTCGTGGGTTCCTGGGAGGTCCCGCGGAGCGGAGGGCCACGCAGACACTGCAGAGACCTCGCGGTTCCCTGGGGGGCTGCGGAGTGCGCAACTGTCGCCACGTTCGTGGGCTCCTGGGAGGTCCCGCGGAGCGGAGGGCCACGCAGACACTGCAGAGACCTCGCGGCTCCCTGGGGGGCTGCGGAGTGCGCAACTGTCGCCGCGTTCGTGGGCTCCTGGGAGGTCCCGCGGAGCGGAGGGCCACGCAGACACAGCAGAGACCTCGCGGCTCCTTTATTGATGAGAAAACCCTGGTGTTTTGAGGTTCACCTAATGAGCTCGGGGGAAGAGGCCGTTGAAGGATTCCGTCGCGGAATCCTTCAACGCAAACGCTTTGGCTCGAAGGCCAGATCGACGCGGAGCGACGAAGCAAGACGAAAACCAAAGATGAAAAGCATGGCGATGCCAAGAATGGTAGCGCACACCAAGCGAAAAGACGAAGGAGGAACGAGCAGAAAAGGGCAGGGAGTACGAGAAGTGAGGCGAGATAGCCGAGGAAGAGTGGAAGAGAGGAGGGTAGGAGGAACCGACTGACAAGGGAGGGATGGTGGAAATGAGGAGGAGAGCGCGATAGGATGAGAATGGCGAGGACGACGATCAGGCAAGAAGCGACCCCAGCATGCCGCCGTCGTCACCGTCGTCCCGTCGCCGCTCCGACTCCGACGGGCGTTCGGCGGGCCTGACCCCGCCTTGGAGGGGGATCCTCCTCCTTCTTCTCCTGCTCCTCCTCGTAATTCTGCTACTGCTGCTGCTGCTGCTACTACTACGACTGCTACTACTACTACTACTACTACTACTACTACTACTACTACTACTACTACTACTACTACTACTACTACTACTACTACTACTACTACTACTACTACTACTACTACTACTACTACTACTACTACTACTACTACTACTACTACTACTACTACTACTACTACTACTACTACTACTACTACTACTACTACTACTACTGCTACACTATGCGACATCGGACCCTGCGAACAAAAAGGCGGTCATGGTAAAGGATGGGAGGGACGAGTAGAACGTCAGCTAAGACCGCGCCAACGAAGCATCGTGCCCCACAGGGATGGCATTCTCTGAGCAACGCCTGAGGGATCGTTCTCACTCACTCCATGTGGGCGGGAGGAAGCTCGCCCGCTCGGCGGCACCGTGGCACGACGGCCCGCCGTTGCGACCCTCCTCCCCTCTTCCTTCTTCTCGGAGCAGGAGGAGGAGGAGGGGAGGGGGGGGGAGGAGGGAGAGGAGGAGGAGGAGGAGGTGGTGGAGAAGGAGGAAGGAGGAGACATGAAGAGGAGTAGGACAAGGACCTTCTCCTGCCCCTCCTCCTCCTTCCTCCTCTTTCCTTCCCCTCCTCATCTCTCCTCCTTCTCCTCCTCCTCCTCCTCCTCCTGACTCCTCCTCCTCCTCCTCCTCCTCCTCACTCTCCTCCTCCTCCTCCTCCACCTCCTCCTCCTCCTCCTCCTGCTTTTCCTTCTCTCATCCTGGCTAAGATTTTCTGGTCTCGCTCTCGACCGCGCCTGTCTCGCGGCCCTCGGCTCGGGCTGGCGCGGGCCCCGGTGGGCCGCGCGCGCGCGCCAGACAGCGCGGCGCCGAGGCGGGGCGGGGGGTCGGCAGGGGCGGGAAGTTCCTAGCAGAAGAAGTGGGAGTCTAAGCAGGAAGGAGGAAAGGAGGATGGCAACACACGTAGGAGAGATGCGCAGGGCGACCACCGAGCGCACTGTTTTGTACAGTGACGCTCCATCCAGCGCGAGAGGGAGAGGGGCCCTCTCGGAGAGGGGCCCTAGAGGGGCGAGGGAGGGAGAGTGAGAGGAGTTAAACCACACGTTGATGCTAAATGTGATGCGAATGGGCTTCCTGGAAAGGAGGAGGTGGGCCACCTGCCAGTGCGCAGCGACGAGGAGGAGTGGAGGAGGAGTGGAGGAGGAGGAGGAGGAGGAGGAGGAGGAGGTGGAGGAGGAGTGGAGGGGGAAAAGGAAGAGGAGGAAAGGGGAGGAAGAGAGAAGGAGGAGGAGAAGGAGGAGAAGAGGAGGAGGATAATGGTGGCGGAGTTTCTCAGGGGCCTGGAGGTGGCGCGTTCCTCCTCCTCCTCCTCCTCCTCCTGTCCTCTCCTCTTCCTCCTCCTCCTCCTCCTCCTCCTCCTCCTCCTCCTCCTCCTCCTCCTCATCCTCCTATGTACTTCTCATCCTCCCCCTATTCCTCCGTCTCCCCCCATCACATCATCTTCTGCCCTTATCCTCATCCTCCTGGTCCTCTGTCTACTGTCATCAACAGTATACTCCTCATCTCTCCGTCCTACAATGCACGATGCGATTGTTAGCATCAATTCGCCTACCGTTGTGGCAGGCCCTATCTACTTCAG